AAAAGATAATATAAAAAGAAAATTATGTAAATAAGAAATGAAATCTTTTATTAATGACAATTCTATTCTAATAATTGTACAATTGGATTTGGGTCTCCAAACAGGCCATTAAGGACTCGTTTGGTGGACAGGATAAGATAATAGTACGATATGATATGGGGCTGATAAGGATAGGATATGATATGAGGCTGATAAGCTTATATCATGTTCTGTGTTTGATGAGCACCTGATTAGCAATCTGATAAGATTATGTAGAAGAAGAAAGAAGAAAGGAAAAATAAAACATAAAGCAATAAATACAAATATATTGGGTAGCGTGAGAATATATTGGGTAGCGTGAGGATATATTGGGTATTCAATATTGGTATCCTATCCTATCGAATCCTAACCCAGCTCCCCCTATAGGATAAGAAATCATGTATTGGATAGGATAAAATTAGACAATAAGATAAGTTAATCATATCTTATTGACCCACCAAACAAGAAATAAAAGTATGATATGATAAGTTATCCTATCCCATCTTCTTTATCAGGTGCTCCAAACAGGCCTAAAGGTTCAAAATTTCGCTAGCCACAAGTAAATTCTAATAAGAGGTAAAATCACATGTACCTAATGTCTCTCTTACTATTATATTGTCACTATACATACATTACCCCTTTGTCAAATATCGTTTTTATCAATGTGTATTGATCCATGACCTCAAAGATATATTTCCTTTATAGATATATTAGAAAGAGTACTAAATTCAAAAGTAACTTATTAATCATTGACTAGACACTTCTGTCACTAAAACATAACATGTTATTTAGATGTACATGAAGAAACTTATTAAGGTAGCCAATTTTTTTTCTCTTTCATGTTTGTTAGAAAAATATAATGTAAATTTTTTCATTCAAAACCTTAAAAATTTTGTTACATTTTTTTCTTTATATGATATCAGAGTCGTGTGATCACGGAATTACGAGTTTGATTCTCACCCTCTCTATTTTTTTAGTGAAATTAAGTCATTATAAGGTAGAATAAAAAAAATGTCTATGCAGCTTAAATAAAAAAAAAAGCGTATGCAATATTTACATTTCAAGTCTAAAAAATTCTTGCTAATACAAAATGAAGATTCATAACTTAAAAAGTTAAGCCGTTAAATGAGATGTTGTTTATCAAGCTATATGAGCTTCCGTTCCGTGAATAAACCTAAAACAGCTTTAGGCTTTTATTGTACAATCATCCTATAATCAACCCAAAAAAACTGCATCTTACTTAATTATGCTTCGGTTGGGGCTCATTACTTGAAACAGTGGATTTCACTCTTGAAAACAAAACTTCTTCAAAGTAGTGTCTTTTGCTGGGTAACGCAGTTTATGGCAAAAAAAAACAAAAAAGGCTGATGTACGCCAAATTTTCCTTTTGGAAACAACAAATATGAATGCAGACTACTAGGAGTGTTTGGTTTAGGAGAAATTTTTTTGACTAGGAAAATAGAATAACTAGGAATATGCTGGGGAAGTGAGTTAGTTAGGTAAGTTAAAAAAAAGTTGTTTGATTTGACGAAATTTTACCAGAAAAATTGGATTAAATTTTATGAGTCTTTGTTTTATTGAAGGTAAAATAATGATGGAAAAATGAATAGAAATGACGAAATCAACCCTTATACTTAAATTTTTGAATGTCAAGAACGTTTTTTAAAACACTTCCACTTGAGTGTGCATCGACCTTCGAACATTTTGACATCTGCACATGTGAGTCTCTTTCTCTCTACACATACAGATCTTGTGTTCTCAAGCTTTTTTTATCATGAGCTCAAAAGAACCATCGAATCGTATTTTCACCACCATCGAATCATATTTTCACCACTAAATCGCCCTCCCAGGAGGTTTTTGGTCATGTTGAGAAGGACATAATGGGGTCTCATACCCCCAGAATGGTCCGTAGGTAGTTTCTGTTTTGTTGTCGTTTTCCTTTCCTTTGTTATACATAATGGGGTCTCTTTCTCTCTGCGTGTCTCCTTTTTCTCTGCACATATAGATCTTTCTCTCCTTTCAGTTTTGTGACCTCACCACCAAAGCAGATCTTCAGTCATGGTTCTCGCCGATTTCATTTGCTAGTTCAGAGATGTACTTTGGGTGCGTATAGTCGAGGGTTAGATTGAAGGTAAATAAGTCATATTTTTGTTCAACTTTTTTCATTTCTCTAATTTTTTTGGAATACCACCTCGCAAATAGCTTTCTTCAACAGTGCAAAATCTTCTTTTTTACATGCAAATCAGAAAGGCTGGGGAACACATTTTGGTGGGTAAATTTTTGTGATTCTCCTACCAAACATTGGCAACATGAAATGCCAACATTAGATAGATGGGGATCCAAAAATAAACCTTGAACCAAACACTACCTTACGTTATTCTGGATATTCTTCGGTAGATATGTGATAGAGAATAATATAAACTATTAAAGAGACTCTTATCCAACATCTTAAGGTTATAAGTTATGATGGTTTTTAGAGTTTCAGTGATCACAAGGTCACGAGTTCTATCATCACCTCGCCTCACTTTCAAGTGAAATTAAATAAGCACAAGGTAAATCAAATATTAGACTTACATAATATTCACGCTTCAAGTACAAAAGACTCTTGTGTGAGAAGGTGTGCTAGAAAATAATATAAATCATTAAAAAAACTCTTACTCAACACTCTTAAAATTTTGGATTGAAATGATTCCTTACAATATATTGAGAATGTATCCCAAAAAATAAAAAAAAATTATAGAAAAGAACCAACCAAAATTATTGAGAACCATTTTTGGATGTATTCGGTCTAGTTTATGTGGGGTTAGAGATTGTGGTCCCTTGGTTCCTACTAATTAACAATATCTTCTACCTACACGAGCAATCTGTTGGATATTTGTTATACCCCAATTGTTTAATTGATTTAAAATATGATTTAATGATTACAATCAATTTAATGTTAATTTAATTGATAATATTTTTTGTCTTAAAATTACTAATGAGCTGATTGTTTGAGATTTCAGAATAGTATTTATTCTGATTTGAATTAGTATTCAAGATAATTGAAGATTGCATGAAGATTGGAGAAGATATGAAAGATATCATGAAGAGAGAGAAAAACATGGAATCAAGTAAAGATTAGGATAGATTTTATTTTTTTAGATTTCATGTAAAGGAGAAATAAAATATTTTTTGCCAAAGATTTAGATTAGAATTGCATTGCATAATAGAATAAGATATTTAAGGTTTACATATCTTTCATTTGAAAAAAATCAGAAATCTTATTTTTGAAAATTGCATTTAAAATTTCATTCAAGAGTAAAAGATTTCTGATTAGATTTTGGAAAAGATTTTAAATTTAAATATTATACTTTTTGAGCTTTTAGGAAAGAGAAAATGTTATTATTATAAATAGGGCTCATTGCATATTATTCATGAGTGGAGAAAATACAATATTCATAAGAGGAGAAAACACAAGAGAGAAAAATATACAAGAAAGAAAAGAGAGAATAAGATTTTCAAAATTAGGATTCTTTCTTGTGCATCAAGTTTTCTTAACGAACATTCATTAATACATTCATCTTTTGACAAAGTGAATATTTCTCTATAAGAATTCAAATTACCTATCTGCTTATTCAAGAAGCACATGGTATTTCTATTATTAAATCTTTTTGTTAGCTTAGAGTTAAGCTATTGTGCATTAGTGATTGATTCTGTCTGAGTTGACAGAAGATGAGTTATTGGTGAAGTGTCATTTGGGTGGCTGAGTAGTCATTCAGATTTGGGTGTGAATTGTATAAGGGTAGTGTAGGGCTAACCTTGTACTATTGTTTTTGGCTCTGTCAGTGAAGTATTTTTGACCAATTGGAGAGTTTATCCAGATTGGTGCCGTGGGTGTTTACTCCTCTTGAGCCAAGGAGGTTTTCCCACGTAAATTGCTGTGTGATTCTAGCATGCTTTATTTTCTATTGATTATCTTTGGACATCTGTTTTTGTTTTAAAAAGAGGCGAAAATTTTATAAACTCAATTCGCTCCCTCTTGAGTTCATCTGAGACCAACACAATCCACCTCACAACTTCAATATTTGATTTTTTAAGATGATATTAGACTGATTTTTATAAAATCATCATTGTTATACTAATTTTCTTAATATAATAAAATTTCAGCATGATTTATTATGAACATATGGTTTATACATGGCAAAAGACTTTGTACTTCAAGTATAAATTACCTTCTGCATGTAGGGGCACGACCTGCATATACCTAATAAGTTAATCTTCTTTATTTAGTTTTTTTTTTTTTTTTTTAAAGTTACGCAGATATTATATACACGAGGACATTCTATTGTCACATGCAAGTCCGAAGGTTAATTTTTTCCAGTTATTCATTATAAAGACAAAAGGATTCTTTTTTCAGGACCTGGCAGTTGCTAATTAAATGGATACAAGGTATCACAAAGGAGCCCAAACCCAAGACACAATCATTCTATAATAAGCATTTGAACAAGTTGATAAGACTTCTTCAAATGCTTGTACTAAATTTTACAAGTACTGAAGTAAAAGTATGAGCATTGCTTTTACTAGAAATCTAGAATTGTGGTATTAACTATCAACTATCAATATGTTTATCAAATTATTAGTCCAAATAATATATATATATAAAGATTTGTCCATTTAACTTCATCACCCTTCGCAGGTTGCAGTAATTAATGAAAATTTGTAATTATCTTTCATTACTAAAACTGCAAAAGAAAGTTTTGTCTTCATGCATCACAGTGCACAAACAAGTAGTGAAGGGAAGATTAGTTGAAAGTCAGCGATTTGTATTACAAAATTTGAGTAACTTGGAAACAAAATTTACAATGACATATTGACATGAACTATATATAGAAATTGTATACAAGAGTAACTAACTAATCGTGAAAAGCTCTGCATTTGATGCCAATTTCCTCAACAAACACCTAAATGGAAAAAAAAAAAAAAAAAAAAAGGTACAGCTACTGTTATCTTGGTCCTGAAAGCTGAACAGCAGAGAGATATGCATCACTAGTACAATCTGATGGTCCTGAAGAAGTGCCACCCTCGCTGGTGGGTTTGAATAAAGTTGAGTAAAGGCGAGAAGCCATGGGAGAACAAGTTGGTGGCTTAGGAACAGTACATAGACCCTCTAGCATTTGAACAACTTTGGTCATTGAAGGTCTCAGAGACATGTCTTCCTGTATGCACCACAATGCAACTTTGACAGCAATGTGAACCCTCACATCCACACCATTTTCATATGTTTTCAACTTTGAATCAAGAATATCTTTCACTTTCCCTTCTTCCATCATCTTAAAAGCAAAAGTTGGGAAATGGGATTTCTCTGAACTTTTAGTAGGATCATAATTTTTCCTTCCACCAATAATCTCTAGCAACACCATCCCGTAGCTATAAACATCACTTTTCTCTGATATAGCATAGTTTGTGATCCACTCTGGTGCAAGATACCCCCTGGTGCCCCTTAGTGTTGTAAAAACATGACTTTGTTCACGTGTCATGAGCTTAGCCAGACCAAAATCTGAAACTTTGGCAGAGAAATTATCATCTAGAAGCACATTTTCTGGTTTGATATCACAATGAACAATCTTTGAATCACAATCTTGGTGTAGGTAAGCAAGTCCTTTTGCTGTTCCAAGTGCTATATTAAACCTAGTATCCCAATCCAACAAAAACTCTCCTTTGTTTTTATTGAATATCCATCTATCCAATGAACCATTGGCCATGTACTCATAAGCAAGAAGTCTATGAGTTCCTTCAGCACAGAACCCTTTAAGCCTAACCAAATGGTTATGATGAATGCTACCAATTATGCTTACTTCAGCCCTGAACTCTTTCTTCCCTTGGCCAATGCCTTCCAACTTCTTCACAGCTAGTTGAGTCCCATCTGGTAGAACTCCTTTATAGACTGAGCCAAAACCACCATGCCCAAGCTTCACTGAGAAGTTATTGGTTGCAGTTTCTAGATCATTGTAACTAAAACGGATTGGCATCCCAGTTAAATTCTCCAAGAAATTGTCCTCTTCTGAATTCTCTTGGGGAGGAGACTCAGGCAAATTTTGCTTTTTCCTGAAGTACCTATGTCCCACAAAGAGCATACCAGAAATCACAAGCAATGTTATTATAACTATGATCACAACAACTATTGTCTGAATATTGCTGCTTCCACTTTTCCCTATGCCCGTACCAGCTCCTCCATCACTAGAGACCTTAATGTAAGAGACAAAACCATAATCATTATCAGATTTCTCAAAGCTTCCAATCCTGTCCAAAAGGAAACAGTTCCCTGAACTGCTTTGGAAGAACATAGCAAGGCATGAGCAGTTTTCACTGCATGAAGTTTTGCAACCAATCAAATCGGTTTTTGAAGAGGGTGGAAGAAACTCAAGCGCAAAGTAATTGAGTCTATCATCAGCTTTCAAGAGCTCAATGGAATTTTTGGAGTTGCAAGGGGAGAGAAACCCTGGTTTGCAATTAGGACTAGAGCTAAGAACAGAAGGGCAACTACACTTTTTGTCACCGGTGCATATGTTATAAGGATCACAAGGTTCTGGTGTACTGCAAGAATCTTGGGGTATTCTTGTTGGCGAGGCAACAATTGACCTTGCACTTTGGAGATTGGAGAAAGTGATAATGCCATCACTTCCTAAAACTGCAATCCAAGTAGCATTTGCATTAGCAGCTGAATCTTCAGCGAAAATAAATTGCCACAACAAGGATTTGTTTTTATCATAGAACCTCCATGAATTTGCACTAAGGGTTGCTGAAGCTACCACATCACCATTGTTATTGACGATTATGCGGCTATCCTTCTGCAATGACCAATAAGGCTGTGGAGTTTGAAAACCTGCATAAAGAATAACATTGCCAGATTCAATCTTAAGAACATAGGTCAAGTTGTTAGAACCAGGTTCACTGATTAGTTCCATTCCCTCAGTGAAGTCCTGCATAGGCAACAAGGTATCCGTTGGATGGCTGAAACTCTGCCAAATCACTCTATTATCTTTCCCAAGCAAAACCAAATTTCCAGTGTCTTGTAATTCCATTGAAGAAACTCCCTTGCCACTTGTATCTGTAGACCAGACAACAGTTCCTCCTTTCTGCAAAAAGACATTACCTTTCTCATCAAACACAAATTTATCAGAATTGGAAACAGGAAGTGCTCTATTTGCAACCCAAACCACCTTGGTACTGTCCATGTGAACCACTGCTAGTAGAAACAATGTGGTGTCATTTGCTGTGGTGACAAAGCCAAAGCCAAAATCTCCTTTGTTTGACACAAGGAACTTTCCATCCCTGTCAATCCAATTCATTTGAGAGCCTTCAAATCCGGGAGAGACCTTGCCAACTTTTAGAATACTAGCCAAAACCACTTCAGATGAAAGGAGGATACACAAGCAGAGGGTATCCATTACATGGAAGAGAGACCCATGTTTTCCCATGGTTTTACTCCAACACCCAAATGGCTATTTGGGGGAATTTCATGTCATGAAGAAGGAAAAAACTCTGAATTTTCATTAACAAAAGAGGTTTGAAAATGGTCATCAACATCCTCATAGTCACCCATGTTTAACATGAGCTTGGAGAAAAAAGAACATTCAAGCTGAAATTTTTCTTACTTCGGCTACATAGTGGGGAAGAAAAAAAGAGAGGAGGAAATGAAAGAAGCAGATATGAAAACACCCTAATAAAGGAAAGTAGTATTTTCTTTGTTGACCAACTCAAAAGATTACCTCAATATGCTGAATCCTGATTTCACACCTTATGAAATGGATGCAGGTGATAAAATTGAAAGGCACAGAAGGACAGAGAAATTGTAACCATGAAACTGATGGATGGACAATCTATATTTTTGTAGAGCAGAAGCCAGAAGAAGGAAAGGCCAATAAGAGTGAAAATGGCTTATAAGAAGTAATTGGCAGTTCATTAATGATATGTTTGACCATGACAGCTAAAATGAGACAAAGTTGCACAAGTAGGGATGCATGTGAAGTAAATCATTATTACTTGCTCAACCGTTGAAGCAAAGTATGGTAATGAATGAAGTATAATAGGAAGAATGATATGAATACAATGAATGACACTGTGTATAGAGCAGAAAAATGTTGGCACTTTGGTAGTTTGTTTGATGGGAAACTGAGATTCAAACCAACGGATTTTTACTTTCTTTTCCTAAACCTGTTTGTGCCTGCTTCCTTCATAAAAGTTGGGCTGGTAGGAATTGACAACTCATTGACCAAAAGATTACGATAGCTCAGGAATTATACATGCAGTCATTATGCATATTTACTTTCATTTAATTTAAAGTATATCATAATCTTTCTTACTTCTATACTTTATAAATACGATTATATTTTAAAAGATTTTTTTTCCACCTAAAATGTTGTTCATAAACCTCTCAGATCTTCCCAATAAGGAAGTAGATGGTTGGAATTTTGAGCAGTGTCATTATACATTTGGATTTACCGTAAATCTTTTAAATACATGACAGAGCATTTACTATTAAAAATGTAATGTATAAAATATAATTTAATAATATATATATATATATATATATATATATATATATATATATGTATATATATATATATTGTTAAATATAGAGGTTTAAACTTAAGTATATGTTAATGTTATTTTAAGATTTTTTTATACAATCTATAAAGTAATGATGGAAACTTTTTTAGCCACTAACCGACTATTTAAAGGTCTGTGTGGTATTGCACCAAAAAAGAAGAAGGTCTATGTGGTATACTAAAATTTAGTCTTTAATTATTGGGATTAATATTTCTCGTTTGGTGGACATGATAGGATATGATATGAGGCTGATAACAGTAAGATATGATATGGAACTGATAAGCCTATATCATGTCCTGTGTTTGGTGAGCACCTGATTAGCAATCTGATAAGATTATGTAAAAGAAGAAAGGAGAAATGAAAAATAAAATATAATGCAATAAATACAAATATATTGGGTAGCGTGGGGATATATTGGGTAGCGTGAGGATATATTGGGTATTCAATATTAATATCCTATCCTATTGAATCCTAACCAGCTCCTCCCATAAGATAAGAAATCATGTATTGGATAGGATAAAAGGAGACAATAGGATAAACTAATCATATCCTATTGATCAACCAAACAAGAGATAAAAGTAGGATATGATAAGTTATCATATCCTATCTTCTTTATCAGGTGCTCCAAACAGGCCCTTATCTCCTACACATATATAAAAATATATGGGCCCATGTAAGATCACATGAAAAGAAGAAAGAGAAGAAAAAAAATGGACCTCATATAATTTTATGTGTATATAAGAGATAACATTATCTCTTACAAACGTGAAAAACATTAAGTCATATATTACCAAATGAGTCACGTTTTATAAATGCAGGCGGTTAACGAAAGTCACGTTTTATAAAGGCAGGCGGTTAACGACACCGCCTGAGTAAAATTTTAAAATTTAAACTTTTAATAACCGCCTGAAGTTGTTAATTGGAGGCGGTTTTAAAAACCGCCTTTGAATGCTTGACCTGTACATTTGGATGATAATTCAAGTGTTTCCACCTGTCACAGGGACCGTCGAAGTTTACCTCAAGCGGTTGTTCCAGCGGTTTAGTTTAAACGTCGGAGGATGACACTGCGACTAAGTTATCTCCGACTGTTGAGTAACCGTCAACCTGATCAAACAGAGATGGTTTGAACCGCCTAAGATTGATAATATAACCGCCTGTGTATGCTCTATTTCTGGTAGTGAACCAATGATTATCAAAACATATAATTTTATTCCTTATTTATTAAATTAAAATATAATTATTAGTTAACTTTTTTTTTAAGTTTATGTCCAAAATATCTTTTAATCTAGTTGTGCATATTATGCTTTTTAATTTTATTTTAATAAAAATAGTTCGAAGGGTCACTAGTAGGAGAAAACAACTATCCTACGACGTGAGAAAATATTTTTTGTCTATATATATATATATATATATATATATATATATATATATATATATATATATATATATATATGAGGTAGGATCCTTTGACACCGGTGTCAAATTTGAAATTTGACACCTCATCTGAGAGTTGTTAAATCAAAAAAGATCAATGGTGTCACATACTTGCAAATCAGAGTCATTGATCTTTTTTGATCTAATGGCTCTAAGATGAGGTGTCAAATTTAAAATTTGACACCGGTGTCAAAGAATCCTGCCTATATATATATATATATTGCTTTTATTTGAATGCTCAGGTTTTTAAAGGGTGATATAATTCAAATAAGAATAATTTTAATTAAAATATTTTCATTTTAATTAAGATCGGAAAACGTTGTGTACCAAAACACTAAAAAAATAATTGGCGAAGGACAGGTATCTGCTTAAGTTCAACACCCAACAATACAACTTAAATTCCACAATTTAAATATTGTTCTTTATCTACATTATCTCCTTGGTGACATGGGAAACCTCGCATCTTCTTCCACCATCCCTTGACCCGTTGAGGTTCCTTAATTCTATTCATACCAAAATTGCTAGTTGTTGTCTTTTGCTTTTGCTTGTCTCATGAAAAGCCAAAAGGTCCATTGCCCCTCCTCCAATAAGCAATAACCATTTGTTGCCATGGTCTGCATTAATATACTTTCTAGTTCCACAACCATTATTGCTTTTGCCGCAATAGTATTATTCACATGTTGATGCATGTCAATACTCATAATTAATCAGTGCATATCTATTTGTAATATATAAAAAGGTTTAAATACCTTCAAATATGACGAAAATAGTATTTGACAAGATTTTTGCTTATGTTATGCCAATGAATATAGTTTACTTAAATTTAACGTATCATTTTTTTTTTAATAAAAAGTAGTTTTCTCAACTAAAAATAATTAAATAATTAAAAATTAAAAAATTTGTTACACCAAGTTGACGTAAATTTGCGGACTAATGAAATGAAACGTATAGTAATTGTACAAGTTAGGCGTTGAAAAAACTTATAGATATGCATGGTTGGGGTTTTTCACTCGTGCTGATGCATGATGCTTTACAATTTCAAACATCGTACAGTGTTGGAAATGTTTCAAAAGGCATTCAGCACCTTTTCTCATTTATTTATTTTTCTATTTTTGGTGTGAATCACCTTTGCTGTTTAAAGAATGTGTTAGGTTGGACAACGTTGCCTGCCTATGAAATCTAAGAAAAAAGATTGTCTTTCATCCACACGCAAAAAACGGAAAAGAGAAAATTAAACCCAAAAGTTGAAAGACTCAATTGATTGGACCTTGGATGCTCTTGTTGATAAATGATAACATTCAAATAGTGGGTTACATTAATACTAAAAAAAAAAAATAGTGGGTTACAATACATAGGAGCTGATAGACACCCCATCAACAAAGTTTTTTTTTTTGCGTTGACTGACAAGTTACACAGTTTTAAAAGCATCATATTACCAAATACATGAATTAATTGGTAAAAGGTGGAGGTATTCATCAATCGATTTAAACTATGATGACTGAATTGAAAAATTGATAATTGAATTAACTGAAAATCGAAAAAAATCATATATTTTAATTAGATTGGTTCAGTTTTCGGTTTGGTTGGTGAAAATTGATTCAATCCAAATCGATCCAATGTATTATGTATTTATTATTTTTTAAAGATAGTGACTTGAAATCTGGTTGTTTTGTAGACTTGAAATCTTGGATGTTATTGATAGCAAATTATTTTATTTTAATTTTATTTTCTATTAATCTATTTTAACTCTTCATGAGTTTTAAGACTTGTTTGATTTTGAAGGACTCTTTTCTGATATAACTAGTGATTTATATGACTGAAATTTTAGGTTTTTTGAAAAATTGAAAACCGATTCAATTCAAACAGAATAAAATTGGATTGGATCAGATTTAAAAAAAATCAAACCAAATGGATAATTAAATGATTAAACCGAAATGATTGAATCAGATGATTTTTGCTTCAGAACCAATCCAATTCGGACTGTAAACATCCCTAGTAAGAGGTTATTTTAGTTTAATTAGTGATATTGAGTTGAAGCGTGGGAGAACGCAGTTATATTAAAACTTGATAGATAGACTTTTGCCGCTCATGTAATAATAAAAGTAGTCGAGTAATCCATGAAATAATGGATAATATTAAACAAAAGCACTAGAAAAATATTTTTAATAACATGAATACTAGTGTGACGATTGGCGGAGACAGCACTGACTATATGTCTATATGGTCCATAAGATCACGAAATTGACATCTGGTGGGGTAATTGTTTTATTGAAGCCATTAGTATGACGATTTGGGCTGCTGCCTTGGCCATTAGTGAATGCTGGACTTGAGGTGGGGGAAATGGAAGGATAAATTAAAATAGACGCAAAACGATTTTGGTGGAATATAAACTTAACAGAAATTTATAGTATATATTTTCTTATGCATATTCATG